GTGATGTGTGAAGAAATATTTTTTATCTACCATGAGTTTGAAAGATCAAGAGAAGAGTTTTTGTCTATCCATTTTCTCCATACCACAAAGAATGTTAGAAATCTATCCCTTATCTATTTTTAATAATAACACAGAACATTTTTCTCTTTCTTTTATTCTCCATTCTGATTTAGTGCCCACCCTTTCTTACTCTAAGGATGATTTGCCCCCTACTAACTTCATCTGATTTACTAGATGTGCTGACATAGTAATGAATATCTGTATATATTGCTGAGATAATTATGTCCCCTCTTGTTGAAAATTAATACAGTAATGTTTTGTTTTAAGTAGAAGAAGCATATATGATTAGTCTCTGGAGCTACTATATTTAAAACACTGTTTTCATTAGAACAGGCTGTCATGTTTATGGGCATCCTCCATTTTAAATTAAAAATACTTTCTTGAGGGGAGAAAGTTCTAGTTTTATAAATGAGCTTATTTTCTTCCTTTTTAAGGAGGAAAAAGAAAAGGACAAGAATACTTACGCGTAAAATTGGATCATAAAAAAATCTTACTTTTTAAAAAAAACATGGAAGCTTTTATTTTCCCCCTCCTTTCTTCTTTTATTCAAAACAAAAAGGCAGTTAAGCTTTATAAGAGATTATTGTATTAATTTGTGGAAAATGATAGTGTATAGAAATATGCTAATTTTAGTTTTATCAAAAGAAATGTATTACATGAGTTAGGGAGACTGAATACAGTGACATCTTTTTCATGTTTTTATTTCAAAGCGCTTTTTATTTAAAACTTAAATAATCTATGTAAGAAGGCAAGAGAAAATTTTGATAAGAACCTAGCTATCTTTAGTTTCCTGTAATCTTAATTATAGGAATGTATTTTCAACAATAATCTTATAAATGTAGACAAGAGTAACTTAGTCAAATCAAGGTAATTTCAATCAATTATCAGAGATGAATATATGGCACTTCTGATGCTAGTAAACCCAACTTTTCTAAGCCTGAAACGGGTTTTGTGGTCCAGTAAATTTTGTTAAGCTATGTGTTACCTATCCCTAAAACTAGGGTATAATGGATATAATGGAGGGAGTAGTGAAAGTGTTATTTGTGTGGCATATGTGTTTATGAGTATGAGATGTACATATATTTAATGTGCATGGCCATCCAATCCTATGCATACAAGTATCTGCAAGTTGTCCCTTCACAAAGTCTTTGTGCAGTTCGCAGCATCCAAAAGATGGTTCTGTCAGTCAGAAATTATGCATTTCTGTCCACTGCAGTGTGTTACTTTACAATTAAGGCTGCAATCTTACTCTATTTTAGAGTAAGTCCTGTTGAAAGCTATAGACCTAAGTAGACACGTTGTTATGCATATTAAACAAACCACTGCTTAGAAGTTCAAAATCTTTGAAATCAGCCTATATACCTGTCTATGGAGATTCTTAGTCATCCAAGTCGTGGTTGTCACGAGGCAACTGGACTTTCTTTTTTCTCTTTGAAGACATTTTGCTTCTCATCCAAGAAGCTTCTTCAGCTCTGACTGGATGGTGGGGAATGGAAGGATTTATACTGGTCATTTGCATTCTTTTAGAGGGTCAATGATGTCACCTGGAGGTTTATCTGTGTCGTCAGGGTCACCTGAGTAGTGCAAATGTGTGTGGAGCCTTCTTGGAACTGTTGAAAGGATCATGTTGTAGACTGAAGATAGATGATGTCGTATCCCTCCCCCTATGTTGAGAAAGAGCTGTTCAGTTTTGATATAGATGGCCTCTTTGACCCCTCTTTCAAACCTGATGGGCAAGATTCAGCAGTCCATCTACATTAAGCCTCCAGGTAGCATCAACAATTCTCAAAAAGAATGCAAATGACCAGCTGTCTGCAAGGAGTATAAATCCTTCCATTCCCCACCATCCAGTCAGAGCTGAAGAAGCTTCTTGGATGAGAAGTGAAACATCTTCAAAGAGAAAAAAGAAAGTCCAGTTGCACCTTTGGGACAGCCTATATACATGCACAATCCTTCTACATGTTCTAGGATTTATTGCACTTTACCATCTTCTAGTCTCCAGAATGGGGTAGACTCCATCTCTGTTAAGTCATCATTATATCAAAATAGTAATGTGAATTGTTTTTTCTTTGACCATGAACTTATTGTATAACATGGAGAAAGCAACATTTTCACATTTGAGCACATTTAAAATTTTTGGAGCATATTGTTAGCTTTCTTTCCAAACAGCTATTATGATAAATATATTCACTTATCAGAAAACAAACTGGATGATTTTTGTAAATGAGCAAGCTCTAGAGAACCCTGTTAGATTAGAACTTTTCCATAACTGACTTGTAAAGTCATTCTGAAGTTAACTGATTTTTTTTCTGAGGTTATAGGGAGGGAAGCGTTTTCCAGGAGCTTTTGTTGTTTTTGTGGAAACCAATGAGCATGGAGAACAAAAAGAAAGACTCTTAAATTTACCTTCAATTGTGGCATGCAGTTTTCTAGGAGTCAGAAAGGAATCCAATAGATTCCAACATATAGCAATAAATTAAAGGTTTTCGTTTTATTTTTGTATATTTTCAAGTCTTGCCAAATGTCCTATTTAATTGGGTGAATAACGATGAAATGTGTATTGTCATGCAAGCACTGCCTATTTTATAAATTCAACATTACACACAGAGTATATGGAGTTTGCATTGTGATATTCCTCAGTCTGACAAAAATTCCAAATATAGAGGACATCTCATCTATACTTTATTTTATTCTGAGCTCTAATGTTCATTGACAAAGGTAAGTTCATTTACTCTTTAAGCTCCAATCCTTTTTCTTTAAGTTTAACACCCATCTGTTTTTGTTTTTATGTATCTTGATAAACTATAACTTTATTTTAGACTGATATTTCTCTCATTTGTGCTTCAGGAATTTGTTAACAAACCTTAGAAGATCTAGGTCTCTCCAGATTGATCACTAAAATAAGGAATTTGCCTTAGTGTGATTAGAAAACATTCTCCTTCCTGATCACCTGATTTCTTATTAAATGTGGATGAAAAAATATCGACAGCAATCACATAGAGAATAGACAAGGACACCATCGATTACCATATTCTGCACAATCTGGCTTTCTGCCAGAAAATCTGATAATATTTGGAAACTTAGCTGGTATCCTGGATGCATATTTAGAAAAAATAAATCTACAGTGATCATCTTGGTGATTATAATAATGGCCTTTTTATGTGATGCAGTGTTTTTTTCTTTGAATAAATAATTCAGCAGTATCACAGGGATAGATATTATTTGCAAGCTTCCTTGAAGGAAGATATGAAATATCTTACATTAATAAATCAATGGCTGAGTAGCTGAAAGAATACTAAGTAAAATGAGATTAATTGGACAAAAGATTTTCTTGTACCTTTGGGTGGAGGGGGGCTGACCAGAGAATGTTTTAAAAAGGTTGGCTGTCAATTTCACTATGTTGGAAATGCTAAATACATTAAGAGATACTTATTTGTTCCACTCTCACCCCATTTATCATTTAATATCCATAAATGTATTAATATTGTTATGAATACCATACCAATACTCTTGAATTATAATCCAAAAATGTAGAATTTACGAATTTATCAAAACAGATCTCCGTCAGTAATTAAGGTTTGATGAGGTATATGAAAATTGGACTGAATGACTTTTAAGTGTAAATGTGTATTGTTACAGCTGTTTTTTATTTCTCTTTTTTCCTGTTCGTTACTACGTTTTAGATTTTTTCATTTGTGTGTATTTGCATATAAAATCACAATAAAAAGATATTGGGATTCGAATACAAAAAAAATCTCTGTTAGTTTGTAGTTCTACTTAAATTGTCATCATGTGGTAGAAAAGGAAAAATATTTTCTTTCTTTATAACCCTGTAACTTTGGTTATGGAAAAATTAAAAAAAGATAGTGGCAGAAAATATCTTTTGCACTGGGGTTTTTTCGAAGTGTGTGTGGGGGGGAATAGGAGCCAGAGAAAATCTCCCAATCAAAATATGGAGTTTCACCATTTTACTTTATAGGGTACTGTGGATCTATGAATATTTTTAGACATACAAATGATTATGTTATTAAAACAATCTTGCAGGATTTGTTAGGTGCCAAAACAGATAATGTGACTGCAGGACTTGTGTTATGATGGTTATCTTTATCTACTCGTGTATTTGCTACTCATTTTTATTATAGTTATCCAAATTTATAGACAAGTGGTGCATTAAAAACAAACCTTAAATTTCCAGAAGATACTAGAATTCTTTATCTTCTGAATTTGTGAAAAAGTTGTTAAACATGTTTTCCGATTGATGCTACTTTAATATATGAAATGTGAAGAAAAATATTAAGACGCCAATGCTGCTTTGTTAATAATGAAATTTACCAGGTCTTCTTAGGAATGGAATGAACATGAACTTGATAAAGACACTGTAGATTATATTATCAGTTCTACCCAATTATTGGATTCTTTGGAGTTTTGCTTTTCATATTCTTCTATATTTCAAGTAAAGATATTTTAAAATCTTACTGTTGAACATCAGTAATTACAGGATGACTTGCTAATTGTGCTATGATGTGTTCAAGTTAATTGTAAAAAATAGAATTCCTTCACTAAAGCTAATTTATGGCTAATTTAATTTTAACATTGTTGATATAAAAATGCCTTATAAATTTCAGCTATCATCTGAAGTGTTTATCCTGAATCAAAGGCTTCTGTAATTATTCACAGAAAGCAAACCAAATAATTAAAGTATATAATAAGAATTTATTATGATTGATAATATGTATCTTTATGAAGAAAGCAACAGCTTTCCATATTACCATGTGATCAAGGCACATGAAGGAAGCATTTTCCATATAGTATGGATCTAGATCTAAATCTAGATATCATCAGCAAGATAGGATCCATATCCTTAAAGTTTAGATTGGAACCATAGATGTTGCTTATTGTTTCTATGTTGTTTTAATTATATGTTTTATGTTTCCTTTCAGTCTGCTCCCAGTACTCACGAGGAGTTTTTGCTATTTTTGGACTGTACGATAAAAGATCAGTACACACCTTGACCTCATTCTGCAGCGCCTTGCACATCTCCCTCATCACACCCAGTTTCCCCACAGAGGGTGAAAGCCAGTTTGTGCTGCAACTGAGGCCTTCCTTACAAGGAGCGTTGCTAAGTTTGCTGGGTCATTATAAATGGAATCGCTTTGTCTTCCTTTATGACACGGATAGGGGTAAGTAGTGTTCCCCTTTATAACACTCACCTATGGAGAGATGTAGCCATGAGTGTAGGAGATGAGCAGGCTAAGCCCGAGTGTGGGGATCAAATATGTCATCAGTTTGGAATCGCTATGCTCCCATAAGAGACCCAAGCCCAGCCCACATGAATCCCACCGACCCTTTTCTAGCACCAGTTGGGTTTGACCATTAGTAGATCAGATTCTTGTGTATAGCTAGCAGGTAATCAGCTTTTAGTGCTTTGAACTCAATTCCTGTTCTTGACTATGTGCCTTAGAAAGAAGAGACCCCAAAAGAGCTTTTCTTTCACATTTATTATTTATTAAGTTTATATGCTGCCCATCTCAGTGTCTACTGTTCATCCACTATAGCTGTTCTTCTACTAAAGGGTAACTTTTATATTTTCCTGGATATATATGACAGTCCTGAAGCAAATTTGTTTGAGTTTTAAAATTGTGCTAGAAATCTGAGTGATTTAATTTGTTTCCTTTTGCAGCGGGCTTTATTTATTTATGAATTTATAAACTGCTTCAGTCAATTGACTCTAATTTTCTTGAAGATGAAAAGTCAGAAAAAATAGCTGAAAAAATGGAGTTCCAGAATAAAAGGGAATGTTTTAATAGCAATATTTTTTTAAAAAAAGTCATTGCACCTTATCTTACTATATTCTTGGTGATTGGACATTGAAAACATTTGATATTTAAGATTAATTCTCCTTACCCATTTTAGGACTGTTCTGAAGTACAAAAAGATATAAAATTGCTTATTTGGATTACACCGTGCATAGCACAGGCCATAGGAGATATGTCAGAAGTATTTGAGATTCTACTTTATTTCTGCTGCATTGTTACAAAAATGGACACATGCACTCAAATTTTCTCTTTCTTATTAAAATTGTCATTTAATTAGTAATATTTCCTTGTATGATTTATTGTATTGGTAATTTTGGTCAGGTCTATATGAAAATAGTTCCTACATTGTACTATTTTATTTGTGCCTAGTTCTGTTTGTTCTTTTTGTGTTATTAAAATGCTCAGGTAAAAAAAGTTTTGGAGCATTTTGTTAAAGTTTTCACTTGTTTCTGCTTTGCAGTTTGTTTTGGATGAACAGAATATAGTAAATAAGACTATAGTTTCCTTAAAAAAAATACAAACTCCCCCTTTCTTGTCTAAATTGCAAAGATAAATTACAGGCTCGCCATTTTGAAATATGTGACAGCATACCACAGGCAGTTTCAGAATTTTCTTGCCTGAAATATGTTTTGTAAACTATTCTTCAAGAAGCTATATAAAAACCTGAAATATTGTGAATACATTTTTGAGATGGAGATTGATACAACCTTTATGTATTCATATGAAAAATTCCAGAATGGTCGCTCTGCTAGTCTATAGCCTGAAAGAAATAAAAAGTCTTGCTAATTTACAGATTAACCACTTGATATCACCATTTTTCTTGCCAAGGATCAAAATGATAAACAAATTTGATGAAATAATCTTTAGCTGAGATAAATGTGTGACAAAACAAAAATTTTCCACTAGCATCATTTGATTTTCTTTTCCTCTTTTCTCGCTTTCCAGAAACTCTTTCAAAAAACCACTCAAATTAATCCCTCAATTCCCTGAAGTAGATATTGGTAGTAATAAATACTAGTCATGGTGTTAATATCTCTTTTTAAATGCTGAGGTAGTATTTCTTGGATATAATATTGAAAATAACTTGAAACAGCTGCTTTGGAATGGTGTGTCTGTCTAACCAGCCAATTAACTATTAACTTCATGAAGCAATTTTTACCGTAGGCTTACATACTTTTTATCCTCTGTCTCTTTACCGTTAGACCATAAAGCACCCTCAAATCACTACCCCAAAATCACTTTCTCAGTTGCAAACTAAATATGTTTTTCAGCTAAATATAATTTAAACCGAAACAGTCAGAAACAAAGAACAGTCCATTAATATCTTGCCAATTTCAGTTTGAAAACCAAGCTTTCTTCTTGGTTTTCAAAATGAAGTTTGAGTGTATAAGTATCTCATTGTATTTAACTGGTAAGTACAGGTAGTCCTCAAATTAAATCATAGGTTTCGCCTGCCCATCATAGTTGTAACCATGATGGTTTTACAGTCTATTTTGTGTGATTGTTAAATGAACCCATCGTTTGCTATAGGCCAGTTTTGCTGAAAACTGGAAATAAATGCCAAGTTTTGGCAATATCATTGTTAAACATGGTCATTTGACCATGGAATGCTGCAAACAGCCATAAATTTATGCAGGCTGAATGCCCAAAGTGTGGTGATGTGACTGCATGGGAGCAACCATCAGAACTTTGAATCTGGGTCATAAGTACCCCCCCATAGGTCCTTTGTAACTTCAAATGGTTGCAACCAATCATAAATCAAGGATACATTGTTGCCACTACCAATTTTCTTGGTAATAGAACATTGCAATGTTTTTCAGCTTCCTAGATTGTACCTAGCTCTAGAATTCTTGAAGGTCTCCATCTGCATTGCATTCAGCACTTAGTTTTCTGTCTAATTAATTGTCTGTCACTTGCTGAGATTCTGTCATCACAGTTAAGCATGCCATATTTACAGTATTTAGAAACAAAGATATGCAATTCACTCGTGTTAGCTGTTTTCAAAGTTACATGTGAATTTTACATGTAAATAATCTTACTAAATTTATGTTGGATATTAAGATCAGAAGTATAGCAAACGTACTTTTTTCTTTATTTGTATTGAATGTATTTAAGCCTTGGTGGCGCAGTGGTTGGATTGCTGTATTGCAGGCTAACTCTGCCTATAGTCTGGAGTTCAATACTGACAGTGCTGGAGGTTGACTCAGCTTTGCATTTTTCCAGGGTCGGTAAAAATGAGGGTCCAGATTGTTGGGGGAAGTATACTGACATTTGTAAACTGCTCAAAGAGTGTGTAAAGCACTATGGGACAGTATATAAGTCTAAGTGCTATTGCTACTGCTATTTTATGATTTTGAAGTTAAGATAAGATTATTGCTTTTATAGGGTTTGCAACTGATAGGTTTTGATTTTAGGGAAAAGTTTCCTTCACCTGCTCTGCACATTGCACCAATTGTATATGAGGTAAACAGAAGCAGTTCAGAACTGCACTGCTGTCTGTGCTTTTTAATGTCAGTAGGATACCAATCTGTATGAAGCAGGTAATAGGTATTCAACACTGCTTTATGGAAATTGCATATCAGCATTTACTGATATGCATTCAGCATTTTGTTCATATAAAACAGTAGCTTTCACACATCTTGCGGTGTGTGCTTTTCACTGTAAATTTAAGCTCGATAAGAAAGTGTCTTGGAACATGCAACAAACATTGCTGCCAGATCAGTATCTCAGATATACCTCCTTAGTGATGTTGGAGTATAGCAAGACTCGGCTTCATGATCTTACATGTCTATGGAGATTCTCAATCATCCCGGTCATGGTTGTCCCAAAGGTGCTTTTTTAAAAAGGCAACTGTATTTTCTTGTTTGTTTGTTTTTTCCTTTGAAAATGTTACACTTCTTATCCAAAACTGAAGAAGCTTCTTGAATGAAAAGCAAAATGTTTTCAAAGGGAAAAAAGAAAAAGAAAATCCAGATGTCTTTTGGAAAAAGCACCTTTGGGAACAACACAGTAGGATATCTCTTAAAGCCACCCATTTCCAGGAAGTTACTTCAGAGATACTAGATTGGCATCATTTAAGCAGCATTAGTTAAATGAGGGTATTCAAGGCCACTCCTAAACCTCAGGTCAGTCACACTGGTTGACAGACAGTTGATAAATGAGGATCCTGCATTTCAGGCATCCAAGGAAGCTTTGAAAAGGATGAAAGGAGGAAGCCAGCTACACATCCACACTCGTATGCTTTAGAATTTTATTTCTCCATGGACATCTGAGTCCGGCAGCTGCTGTATTTAGCCTTTTATGTGGCCACAGGTGTTGGCTTCAGTGCTGGAACCCACAGTCATGGAAGACAAAGACAGGCACAGTAGTAGTTGCCAGGGACTGGCAATTATGCCAAGTAAACATTGAATGTAAAACAAATGCATGTGCCAATTGGGCTCCAAACTGAGCTTCTAGTTCAGGAAAAAAAATTAACTTGTCTTTTGAGAAGCATTCTCTGTACACTACAGACAAATGCCCAAAGCTTTTATAAGGTACAAGGCACGCATTTTGTTGAAACAACAACCACAACAAAAGTGGATTGGAAAAAAGAAGGCATAGGCTTTCAAAGACAAAAGCTGAATTAGCTTTCCTGCAATTATCTCACATTCCTCTGCGTACAGGCGGTCAAATTAATCTACAGTTAATCTCCACAAATTTCACCAGAGCTGAGAAAGGCCAAAATCATATGAGGGCAAAAAGTCAATAAGGATAAATTTCGTGAGAGATCTTGTCCTCAAAAGCCTGTCACTTCTTGGGCTCGCCCTTCTCTCTGTGATTCAGATCCCAAAAGCTATACTAGAGGATTTCACTTTCTTCTTGACAGCTTGCTTTCATGACATATTAGCCTCCTACTTAAAATCTTGATAAGATATCAAGTGGCAAGGGTAGTGGGCTGAAGTCACCTTCTCTAATCTAAACAGTGTGGGTTTTGGGACCTGGCCTTTTTTGAAGCTGAAAGAAGAAAGCTGCGGATGTATGTTGTGATGTTTATGTTGTGTAGTGGGAACAGGGAGGCATTGAAATAACAGCTCTTTATTAGTTCTCACAGAAGCAAGCTCTAGCAGCTGCTTGACTTATATTTATACGGACCGCCACTAGGCAGCGGCCAATCAATTTAAAGTATTCATTCCCGCCTAAAACAAAGGCTTAAAGTTATACAGTCTATAATTCAAATAGAACAAACAGTTAACCATTTTTATAACAGACCTTATGAATTGTTTAATACATAACAATTTGTATATGAAAAACACAAAATGAATTTCTTCCTCTTTAATACATCTGTGCAGTATTAAAACACAAATACAGTGGAATTGCTGTGAGAG